GACATCATTGCGATTCCTTCTGGTAGTAGTCGAGCGTTCGCGAGGGACGTGTTGCGGTGCGAGTGCTCTGCAGCGGAGGCTTACACACCCCACAATCTTGGTGACGCTGCCCAGCCAAAGGTCAGCCGTAGATCCGCTACTAGCACGTCTCCTATCACGTAGCAAAAGTTGTGTGCATGATCTGGTGATATCCTCACATTTCTGAACGCAGAGGTGACATCAGCCTTGGCTGCGAGAATTCTCTTGTCGGCCCATCTTACTCGTAGGCTAGTGAGCTCCTCGAGGAAAGCTAGTAGTGCTTCGCCGCACAGGCACCGTGGAACTCCAGACATAATGGTATCTTTGTTGAGCCCACCTTTTGACCCCTTACTATTGCTTGGGTCAAACGAGAAGTCGTTGATGATCCTCACTCTTTTCCCTGGGACCGCTCCCAACGGGGCTACTCTCATCCCACGTACGTCCGACGCGTTCGCCTTTCTCAGGACGATACACACACCTGTTACGCTTGACATCTTCGCATAGTTTTTTCCCACACTTGTGTTTGGTGGTCGTCTACGCTACGGTGGTTGCCGTATGCCAAGGCTTTCTTAAGGTTTTGCTGCGAGTCTAGAGTGGGGGCCGGGGCTCCTTCACCGACTATCTCGATGAGGTCATCGATACCCGGGAAGCCCTTCTCCTCTCCGAAATACTGCTTGACGTCGCTCACGTCCAACGGCGGTGACACCAAAGTGCCGCCGATTCCCCTCGCGACGTCTCCCAGCCTTCCATCGTGGAGCTTTACCAGATCACTACCAATGACCGCCATTTTCCGAATGATACATTGCTTATCGTCTAGTGAGTGTATGCTTGACGCGAGTATGCTTCTCTGTACCTCGAGCTATCGGTCAGAGTTTTTGAACTTTTCGACAAGGTTGTATTTTTTGGATTCTCTAGGGCCGAAGGTTCTTTCCCCGCCCCAAAGTGAGAAGTCGCTGAATTCGACCCGCAATCATGTCGCATTACTTTTGTGATGTCAGCGGCCCTAGCAGTGTCCGCCGCTAGTGCCCTACGTGCCAACAGTGCTTCCCCCGGGGTGTCCGCCCCCGGGAGAGCTTTTGACATGGTCATGGTGTCCGCCAATTTCATGTCGTTCCCGCGAATGGTGTCCGCCAATCGGGGCTGTGTGACTGACAAATTCTTACGCAGGGTGTCCGCCCTGTGTATGTCCTTCTGCACACTACTGGTGTCCGCCAGTATTTTTTGTTTACCGACAACGCTCGCGGCGTCCACCGCTTGCGTGCCGCGGGGCCAATTACATTCGCCCGGGGTGTCCGCCCCGGAGGCGACTGCGTTGCAGTGTTCAGCACGTGTGGTGTCCGCCACAGTCTTCGTGGTGTACAAGGCAGAGCAGTAATTGATCCCGCTATTGGTGTCCGCCAATAAGTATTCCCTTAATGGATTTTTCGCGGGAACGGCGTCCACCGTTTGCGAGAGTGAGGGTAATGCTTGTTCACACCGGGTGTCCGCCCGGTGTGTGTCAGTATTCGCACAATTGGTGTCCGCCAATATTTTTGACGTATCTATCACCCGTGCGGTGTCCTCCGCTTGTGTGTTATTTGACCCGTACTTAGCGCCGAGGGTGTCCGCCCCCGTAGCTNTCTGTGGAACTCGGTACACAACAGACAGTCCCCCGTAACAACGGGGTGCGAAACTTGAGTCCCCCCCTTCCGCCCATGCGGTCCTCGACTCTCTCTACTGTAGGCTTTATCAACCCGGAATCTGACGACTCAATGGGGGCACCCCTGAGAAAGACACCCCCAAACCCGTACTAGAGAATACTGAAGAAAAATGGCCGTGATCCCTTGCTTCTCCGGCCGTGCGTGCTTTAATTGTTTTGTTGCCGGATGGTGGCGACTTCTTCGAGTCCAATTTCCTGGGTTCTCCGCTGGAGGGACGAGTCGCCCTTTTCTTTGAGCGTTAGCCAATGTTGCAATATCTCCCAAGTTCCCTGCCTGCTCTCTTGCCCCCAAGTGCACTTGTACCGCTCACACCCACTGGTGAAATAGATGCTCCCCCGTTTGTTGAAGACTCCCTTGCCCATGATATCTATGTCGTTGGACGTTTGTTGTTTGTTTTTCAGCGCTTCAACAATTTCCTGCAGCTTCTGTCATGCATCTGCAACATCGCCGCCATCTGCATCGAGGAGATCCGCGAGCTGGCTAGGATCATCGACCTCATCGCCGACATCGTATACATGACAACCGTCGGCTGCATGACGGTAAGGGATATACATTGAAAGGAGGGGCAGCGGAGCGAAGACGATAATGAAATACCGCCGCGCTGCGTTTTGTACCGCGCGATATCTGACGTTTTGTCTCACTCAAGGTTACGTTGCAAAACACCACAACGCGTGCTTGTACAAACTATGATTGGTACTTCCAACCATGAAGTCTCAGGGCCCAAGCAGCATCGCAAAGCCCCCCTGCTCTCCGAAAGCGGTACATCGCCCTTCAGTTCAATCGAATCAATCGCCTGACACACGATGGCACGTCGCGGCCGGTACCTTGCAAGTCGCGGTCAGCGAGAAACTCGTGTTGCTTTCCATCTCAGCTGTTGACAAGTGCGCAGATCTGAGGTCGGAAATTTGCGGCAAACTATGCGATTGCTGAACTCCGTTGTTGACGGATAGGACACCCACTATCCAGGCACAGAGCCAGGGGAGGCGGTGCTACCTAACCTTTTGAATCCAGGCGCTTGTTCCATGTAAATGTTGAGAATGCAGAGGCCCCCCGGATGGGGCAGCAGGTGATCATCTCCTCCGAGATGTTACAGATCCCCGGCACAGCAGTGTCCTCAAGTCTTGCCCCTGCCCCCGTTTCGTGACATGAAATTGCTTGTGTGCGACAGGGCCAAATGATATACGAGATGGAGTACCAAGCTTCGGTTGCCCCCAAGGCCGAGGCTATCACTGGCCGGTAAACTTGGTATGGTAACTAGCCTTCGTGCAATCAACAGGACTGTTGCTGCCATACATGGCGGCGTCTTGAGGGCGATTGACTCCCAGGCCGACCGCTGTTTGTGTGGCACGCTCGCTGGAGGCACTTGTTGAGCCTCGCTGGTTGTGGGACGGGGAGAGCGGAGCCTCGTGTGGCGCCGCTGACGTTGCAACGAGCGTCCGGCAAGCCCGCTTGTTTGGTCGACAGCAGGAACACAACAGTCCCCCTGCTGCTGCTGCTGCTGCTGCTGCTGCTGCTGCTGCTGCTGCTGCAGCTGCGGCTGCTGTTGTTGTTGTCGCTGTTGCTGCTGCATGTTATGGTCGTCCCCGCCGCCGGCAGCCGAGTTTGGAGGACTGCCGTCCCCCGAGTTGCCTGGAATGGCCGCCGCGGCCCCCGCCGCGGCGCTCGCGCTCGCCGGTTGCCCCTCATTGCCGTCCATCCTAAAATCGATCAAATCCTAGGCGGCACTCCGTGTTTGCTGCTCCTCAAAGCTGCTATCTCTGCTACTCCTCTCCTTCTCTCAAATGCACTTGCTTGTCTCTCGCCCAGCGAGAGCACAAAAACTTTCTGACACCAGGGCTGTCTCTATTTTTCTTCGATCCCCGCTTTCCCGAATTCCAACACGCCTCCACAAACCACAGATTCAAATACGTACTGAATCTTCAAGTTTTTGGTGCACGCTGGTATTGTTGTTGACTTCACATTAAACCGTATGCCAGTTGCTAAATGCCAAAATCTACAAGGTTCCATTTAGTACAGTATAGTATTTACATTCCAGTATCGAAACCCGTACTGAACCGCCAGTACCAGTACGTTATGGATGATTGAATACTTGTACTGTACTGGGTCGAGCATAGTATTGAGAGCTGTACTAAACGCAATAGTACGTATAGTACAGTATTGAGAGCTGTACTAAACGCAATAGTACGTATAGTACAGTATGAAGAGCTGTACTAAACGCAATAGTACGTATAGTACGTATGAAGAGCTGTACTAAACGTACTGGCTTCATACTTCGAACGCTGCAGCATCCATATCCATGCATATGCGTCAAGCACCTGCAGCAGCACTCTCAGTTGAATTGTACACGCTGCTTGGAATCCCCCCTGATGCTCCCTCGCCCCGTGCCTCTGCCGTAGCAATCACTTATTTCAGCTGCTATTTCAATACCGAAATGCAAGATCGAAGAGCAAAAGCCAGCGGTCAAAAATCAAAAGCAAAAGACTAAAGCTAAATTGAAATTTCTACTTGTTGCTGCTTTTCTACTTTAACTTTGCTCGAACGTTCTAAAAAACAAAACAAATCAAATCAACCTGCCGACGATGGTATTGGGGTTGGGGTGCCTTTTTCCCAAGGAGGTTTTTTTTTCACGTGGGACATCATTGCGATTCCTTCTGGTAGTAGTCTAGCGTTTGCGAGGGACGTGTTGCGGTGCGAGTGCTCTGCAGCGGAGGCTAACACACCCCACAATCCTGGTGACGCTGCCCAGCCAAAGGTCAGCCGTAGGTCCGCGACAAGCACGTCTCCTACCACGTAGCGAAACTTGTGTGCATGATCTGGTGATATCCTCACATTTCTGAACGCAGAGGTGACATCAGCCTTGGCTGCGAGGATTCTCTTGTCGGGCCATCTTACTCGTAGGCTAGTGAGCGCCTCGAGGAAAGCTGGTAGTGCTTCCCCGCACAGGCAACGTGGAACTCCAGACATGATGGTATCTTTGTTGAGCCCACCTTTTGACCTCTTGCTAGTGCTTGGGTCAAAAGAGAAGTCGTTGATGATCCTCACTTTTTTCCCTGGGACCGCTCCCAACGGGGCGACTCTGATCCCACGTACGTCCGACGCGTTCGCCTTTCTCAGGACAATACACCTGTTACGCTTAACATCGTCGCATAGTTTTTCCCACACTTGTGTTTGGTGATCGTCTACGCTACGGTGGTTGCCGTATGCCAAGGCTTNTTTACCGAATCACTGCCAATGTCCGCCATTTTCCGAATGATACATTGCTTCTCGTCTAGTGAGTGTATGCTTGACGCGATTATGCTTATCTGTACCTCGAGTCTATCGGTCAGAGTTTTTGAATTTTTCAACGAGGTTATATTTTTGGACTCTCTAGGGCTGAAGGTTCTTTCCCCGCCCCAAAGTGAGAAGTCGCTGAATTCGACCCGCAATCATGTCGCATTACTTTTGTGATGTCAGCGGCCCT